TATATATATATATATATATATATATATATATATATATATTATATTTTAAGTCAGTTTAGTTCATCCATTGGTGCTTGATTTTTTTTTTTAATCTCATTTCTATTTTATCCTGGTTGTAGAAATTTGAAAAAAAATGAATTCCTCATCCTTTAATTTTCATTGATAACTCATATTCTTCTTCAATAATTTTCATAAATTTTGGTATCGAAACTTATATATTATATAATTATCTCTTCTAAAATTTTTTTAAGACTATTAATAACAAACATCTAATGACAACATCTTCATCACTGCTTGTCATCTCAAACAAAGAAATATGTTTTGATATCTTGAAAACTAGGATCGGAAAGAGAAGAAACAAAAGCCAAGCACAGAAGAACTATAATAACTCAAAATATAAAAAAACTTAATTAATAGAATAAACCTGATTACAATTGCTCCTCTCTCACTTAATAATCTCAAAAAAAGCATACCCTATTTATAATATAGACTCATGATGCTTAAACATATTACTACTCATTATAATTTTATCCAAATTAAGTATCACAAATTAATTAAACTTTTATTTTAACATCTTTACCAAAAATTAATAGAATAAATACCATTAGCTTTATCTTAAACATGTGGATCCGTAACATTAAATCCTTACAAAGTCCTGAATCAGTCATAAATTTTAATTGTTTGGGCGTTACAGTGTCATATCAAATTCCAGTTTTATATTTCAAAGGAAATTGGTTGTCGGTATACAAATCTAAAGCTATCCCTTATCATAGTATGGATTCTCCTCATATTATCTTTCTTAGGAGCAGGGAAACATAGGTCTTCGACTCCCACCATCTGTGGTCTCTTCATGCCACAGTGTCTCTTCTATGACAAGCTCGCATGCGCTCCTCTTGGTCCCATATCTACCCTCGTCACGTGTGGCGCACCTGACTTGCTATTCTCTTGGCCTACGGGTACACGTTTCTCTAACCAGACAGTTGACTCCCACTGTATCAGCAGAGAGGCTGCAGAGGTGAACGAGTTGGATACAGGAGAAGTAATTTTAGTATCCATAAAGTGGTAGTTTAATATTGCAGAATAGAATCATCCACCACACCATCTCTCACAGGATATGAGAGCCAGCAACCACATCAGCATCATGTTCCATCCTTGTCTTGGGCCATCATCTAACCATCTGCAAGCACTCCACTTCTGCAGATAGAGCTTCTTCTTCTTCTCCTTTCTCCTCCTGGTCCTCTTCTCCCTTTTTCTCTTCTTTGGTGTCTTGGACCATCTGTGAAGCTTTCCATGGATACTACACAGTGGTCTCAGGTAAAATTAAACCATGGACTTTATTGTGTTTGATCCTTCTTTTTTTCTTTTTAGATCGATGCAATAATCTTATGTGGGGCGGATCTGATGAGTTTTCCTGGGTAGAGGCTTGAGATTGATGTAGGTCTTCTTTTTCTTACGCTGATGACCTTTAATAGATATCTCCGGGCCAGTTAGTGCATCATCTCTCTCTCTCTCTCTCTCTCTCTTTCTCTCTCTCTCTCATCCTTTCCTTTGGCCTTAAGCTTTTGATCCTGTCGCCCCAACCCCTTTTGCTCTCGAAAGCAGCAAACCACTTTCTTTTTCCTACCTTTGTCTTCTTCCTTTATCGGTCTTCTTGCTTCCTTTTTATCGTATGCAACAAAGCATGCAGTAACATGAAAAGGCGTTGCTTTGCTTGGATCTTGTATCCAAAGTTTGTGATTTCTCTTTCATCTTTTTCTAGCTTTTTCTCTCATTCTTCCCCTTCTTTTTTCTTCTTGTACGCTTCTTCTTGGTGGCTTTGTTTCTTCAGAGATCTGTCTATGGCTATGCATAATTTGATATATTTATATATGTATGTGACTCTTTAACTCTTTCCTCCCACTTCCTCCCTGATTTAGTTTGTCCATATGGGGATGTTGTGTTGTTGGTGCTGGCCAGGGCATAGGGTTGGTGAAGCCCGTGAAGGAGTTTGCTTCCTCCACCACAACCACCAGCGGCAGCGACACCTGCACCACCACCAGGACACAGGTGACGGAGAGGCGCCCAAGGCCGCACAAGGAGCAGGCCCTCAACTGCCCCAGGTGCAACTCCACCAACACCAAGTTCTGCTACTACAACAACTATAGCCTCACCCAGCCCAGGTACTTCTGCAAGACTTGCAGGAGGTATTGGACCGAGGGTGGGTCGCTCAGGAATGTCCCTGTGGGCGGTGGCTCGAGAAAGAACAAGAGGTCCTCCATGTCCTCCGCCACTGCCATCTCTTCCTCCTCCTGTAACTCCTTCACGGAAGCGTTAGCAACTGCCTCAGCTCCCAAGAAATTCCATGCCGACCTCATCCCTCCATCCATCTTACTCTCCACCAACTCTGAAACTCCAAAACTCCATGAGAAACAGGACCTCAACCTGGCCTTCCGCCAACATAGCATCCCCGAGTACAACGACTACTTCAACCTAGAAATCAGCAATGCCAACAACATCAGCAGCAGTAACAGCAACTATTGTGCCGCTGTTCGTGCTCTCTCTGACATGGAGGTACTGACGAATGGTATGACCGCAAAAGGCATCGGGTCTTTGATGCCGCTGCCAATGACGGAGTATCCAACAGGGTTAGGATTGCATGGGTTCAGACCACCTACTCTTAGTTTTCCTTTAGATGGAATAAGCGGAGGGGGCGGGGGAGGTATTGGTGGTGGTGGGTATGGGGACTTGCCCGGTATTCAGGAGAGTGTTACTGGTAAGCTGTTGTTTCCTTTGGAGGTCCTGAAGCCAGCAATCCCCTCAAACAATGTCGCAGACCAGTTTGAGGTGCAAGGTGATGATCCTCCCAGGTATTGGAACGGTGTCATCGGAGGAGGCTCATGGTAGACCAAAAAGAGAGATGAAGACCTTCTAAGAGTAACAACGTTTGATTATCCAAGTTAACTCTTGATGGTGGTGCGGATCACTTTGTTTGTAGTCGTTCAGCCTAACAAACAGATCATGATGCATAAGTTCCTTCTCTTTTGACTTCACTTCTAATTTACTCATTCTAACTAGTCTATTCTCCTCACTGTGGATATCCGAAGCCTCATTTTATGCTGGCTTCAAAAGATTTGTCTTAACCAGAAGAGTTTGGTTGTGTGGTGATCGGAAGAGAGCTCTCTTTTCCCTTTTTCTCTTGTTTCTTCATGCAGGATAAATATATGGGAGGTTACCAATAATCCTTTTGCAAATATATGTATAGGCATTGCGCGATTGCCTGATTCATGAATGCAGGAGAAAGGAAACAAGTGTGCAAGTGCTCGTGTGATGTTTTGGTGTGCTTGGAAACGTTGTGAAGCTTGTTTGTACTGTGGACTAGTGCAAAAGATTGTATGAACCAAAGGGAAGGGAAAAAGAAAGGAACTATAATTTGTTTGTCTGTATGTCGATTGCATGTAGTATTTCCATGAGTTCCACTTTCAAGTGTTGCCTTCTTTGTTCCGTCTTTTTTATTTTCCCTTGTTGCCTATCAGGTCTTAGATGTGCCATGAAAGCAGAAAGAGGAGCTTAATAAGAAGAGAATAACTTAGGTATGATCATGCTCTCTCTCTCTCTCTCCTCTTAAAAATACTTGGTAGTATTATATCTCGTATCATCTTTAACTTCAATTCCCAAACTTTTTCTTTATCCTCTTGCTATAAAGTAAAACCATGGTGGAAGAATGGCCTACATTGAATGAAAGCTGCGAGCCAGTTCATCTGCCCCAGCAAAAAGCTTCTCACCTAATAATTCCTGCAGCCACTAGCATACTGGCCACTGTTTCCGCGTATGATTGCATCCTAACGTGCCTTTCTATTTAAACATTGCCAGACCTGACAACAGCTTTTCCCATACAGCATTTCTCTCTGTTCGCGAGGTTTCGGTTCCTCACCAACATTCCCCTGGGGATGGGAGCTGAAGAACCATTTCCTACCTCTTTCATGCTAAGTTTGATACGTAGAGCTTCTTTTCTCACATACTGCCTTTACCTGAACATAAAATTCTGTAGTTCAGTGTAACATAAATAATTGATGAGTTTGATATCTGCAATCTGAATGCCGAGATCTGTCGGTTCTGATGCATCTCTGCAGATATAACGAAGCTGCACAGTTATATGTTGCATCACTGTTTTTCTTCATTTGGACATAATATTCAATGCGATGCTGTTTATTTCATCCAAAGAAATTTACATGTTCCTGTTCGTATTGGCATCTCAATACCAGTTGAGATAATGATAAATGCTTCATTTGTACTGCTATACTAAATTTCTTTAGCATAATTATAGATGGACCAACTTCACATTCTTTGTAATTTAATTTTTCTTTAGCCCTCCTTCTAGTGAATTATTTAATTTTTTATTTATAATTTTGTTCTGTTGTACAGAAGCTCTGATAGGTTTCTATGCAACATTTTCTTTTTTTTGTTTTGTTGTACAGGAGCTCTAGTAAGGTATATATACAATTTTATTTGCTTTATTTTTTTTATTTTACTTTTTCTTTTAGACTTATTTTTTGTTTTGTTGCACTGAAGCTCTAATAGGTATGTATGTGATATTTTATTTTTATTTTTCATTTATTATTTTGTTTTGTTGTAAATGAACCCTAATAGGTATATATGCAATATTTAATTTTTTTTATTTTTTATTTTATTTTTTCGTTTTGTTGTAGAGGAGCTCTAATAGGTATAATATGTAATTTTACTTGCTTTGGATTTTTTACTTTTGTTTTATTTTACT